ATTATAATGACTATAGCCTTGCTGAAAACCATACCCATATACAGTATATTTCACATATCTTCTAATCTCTCTTTCACTCTCTCATTACATTTCACTTTTTTCTTTCTCTTTCTTTTTCTCCTATTAAAAAAAGCCACTGATGATGAAGAAGCTAAGATACTAATATTCAGATATTCAGTTCTGCTTTCTACTAAAGTGGCAAAAAAAAAAATCAACTTGAAACCTCTTCCGTGTCGTGGAGCCGTTTACGTCACCCACAGAGCATTGTCAATGCTGGCTGACCTAAATAAAGTTTGGGAAGAAAAAAAAAACTACATGTAAAGATCCACCCTCTCTGAGACTCACGAGTGAAAAGTAGAGACTTCAAACTTTAAACCAGTTTTTAAATCGTATTGTTAGGCCAAGTAGATCTTAGAAGTTATGATAAAAAGTATATGACACATTTAAGTTTTTTAAAAAGATGGTCTGATTTGATGCGAGTCGCGTCACGTGGAGGAAACACGTGCCTAAATTCACCATTTATTTCCTCCTCCTCTTGGGCCAAAAGTATAAAAACCCTCCAGTTTTTTTCTGAGTAAGGCTCAAAGGTATTTGTTGAGCAGCAAAAAGGTTCAGGACAAAGGAATAAATAAATAAATAAAAGACGCGAGCAGAACTCTTGGTCAGACTCAGTGGGGAAGGGGGGGGGGCTGCTTCAGAACAGTTTACTGGGTCGAACAATGTTTTAGTCAGACAGAACCAACAACAAAAAGGCAAAAAGTAAAGAATTTGAGAAAAACTATAAATGTTCAATGTAAATAAATTATAATTATAATAAATTAATAACAGTTTTACATCTAAAAATCATATTTTATTCTTTTAACCTATTTTCCTCATTCAACAACCTATTATTTTTCTGTTTTATTTCGTGTATGAGAAATACACATTTTTTTCAGTCAGTATGTAATACAGCTGGCAAAATAAATTGTTAAAACATTTATGATGTGCTTCTGTTTTTTTAATTCAGGAGATTATAAAAAAATCCTTCATTTTATGAAAAGACCCTCTTGATTCAAGAGAAAACTCCAGTTTTTTAAGAAAATGGCAGCTTATCAATTAATTGTTAGTCAATTTATATGATAAATCAACTTCAGATTAATTAATTAATCAATAACTTGCATCCCTAATTTATACAGGAATGAAAATAATTTATGTCTACACATATTCATGTAACTAAGTGTTTTAATGTTTTGGCCGATTAATAGAAAAAAATAATTGACAGATTAATCGATTATTAAAATAATCGTTAGTTGCAGCCCTAATTTACACATAAAAGTTAGCAAAAGTTGTCTAAAACGTTTTAATGTTACAGGGGCTTCAGCTACAACACAAACCAACCTGGTAAAAGATTTAAGATATGTTCTTTGGCTTGGATGAAGTAAACGATTTAAAGCACCTTGCTGCTGAAAAGTGCTGTACACAGTAAATAAACCTTACCTTACCTTACATTGAATAATAAACTTCTCTGTTAATGCCTGAAGTTTTCACTGTTGAACTGAACTTTATTTAAAAAGTTATTCTTCTGCTTGATTCAGAAAAAGAAGAAAAGAGTCTTTAAAGTCAAAAAAGAATCTAGATTTGACCAGAAGTCAGCCGTTAACTGTAGACAACTGTCAAAGTGTGCATATGTTTAAACAGATGTTAAATGAGAAAATGAAGTCATCTCCATATTAGCCAGCTGGTGCATCAATGCATCATTAAATGTGATATTGTTTTAAAGCAGTGGTCTTTAGTTTATGCTTAGGGAGGTCTGCTTTCTAGCAAAGGTGTAAAGCATATAAATTTGAATTATATTTTACTGACAGCTGTGCTTGTTTCTGCTCTTGCCAAGGCCTGTACCTGTCTGTGGGCTGGCAGCTTCTCTCTGTGGAGAAAAACTCCAGCCCTGACATGGAAATAGCCCCATGTGCTAGAAAAGCTGCACCATCTAAACTGAATTACCCTAAATTTAGGAAACGGTTAGCGGCACTCTCCCTATTTTGTCACATGGACAGATCAACCATTCACAAACTTGGGTCCTCTACCAGAGGCCTGGGAGCTGGAGGGTTCTGCACAGTATCTGTTCCAATGACTGCGCTCTTCTACACAGAAATCACCAGTGGTGGGCACCAGCCTGCTAAAGCACAAATCTGCTAATTGCAGAGCTAAATATTTCATTTGCGCTTTAGCAGGCTTACTAATTTTTATAATTCATAAGCAGATTTGCACTTTCTCGATATGCGATACTGCTAATAACTAATTATCTACCAGTCATCATTATCTTGAACAGCAGAAGGTATGGCTGTCAATGAATCACAACACATGTGATC